TCAAGCAAATGTGGTAGAAACCACGGAGGATGACGAGGCCGTAGCAGCAGTGATTACTGAGATTAACATGGTCGGAGACCCAGACGAGTGGGTCGTGGACACGGGGGCATCTCGTCACTTCTGCAACAACAAGTCCTTTTTCAAGGTGTTCGAGCCCGTCACTGGAGGAGAACAAGTCTTCATGGGCAACTCCAGCATTTCTGAGGTAAGTGGTGGAGGAAAAGTAGAGTTATTGCTTAATTCTGGCAAGAAGTTATTACTGAACAATGTGTTGTATGTTCCCTCTCTGCGTAGAAACTTAATTTCCGGGGGCCTACTTATTAAGGCCTGGATCAAAATTGTCCTTGAGTCAGACTGATTGGTTATGACTCGCTGTGGGACTTTTCTCGGAAAAGGGTATCTACGGGGGGGGGGGGGGGGATTATTTGTGTTAGACATATCTGTAATTGGACCAGAATCTATCAATAAGAAAAATCCTTCCCCTTCAGCTTATATTACTGTTTCAGTTAATTTGTGGCATGGTAGATTAGGACATGTTGGCTCAAAGTGCTTAAATAGATTAAAAAGCCTGAATATGTTGCCAAACTTGTCTAATGATGCATGCTTCCAATGTGAAACTTGTGCTGAAGCAAAATTTGCTAGGAAGCCATTTTCTGCGGTAACTCATAGAACTTCATCTATACTTGAATTGATTCACTCTGATCTAGCGGATTTTAAAACCACTGAAAGTAAAGGTGGAAAACGGTATTATATAACTTTTATAGATGACTATTCTCGTTTTACAAAACTATACCTCTTGAGAACAAAAGATGAAGCTGAACACAAATTTGTGATTTTTAAAACTGAGGTAGAAAATCAGTTAAACTTGAAAATAAAGAGGCTTCGTTCTGACAGAGGTGGAGAGTATGAATCTTTATCGCCAAAAACCTTATGTGAAACTTCGGGTATAATCCATGAAGTAACTGCACCTTACTCTCCCCAACAAAATGGCATCGCTGAAAGGAAAAATAGAACCCTTAAAGACATGATTAACGCAATGTTGATCAGTTCTGGGGAACCAGACTCTATGTGGGGGAAGCTGTTCTAACGGCGAACCACATTTTAAATAGAGTCCCACATAAAGGGTTCGAAAAAACCCCTTATGAGATGTGGAAAGGGCACGCCCCGAACCTGAAACACTTTAAGGTGTGGGGATGCTTGGCTAAGGTGGGTCTACCATCCCTGAAAAGGTCCAACATAGGACCCAAAACCTTTGATGCTATTTTTGTTGGATATGCCGAGAATAGTGCAGCATATAGGTTTATGTGTCTAGAAAATCGTTCTATGTGTGAATCAAGAAATGCAATATTCTTTGAACATATCTTTCCTTTAAAATATGCTTATGTCTCACCAGTTGATACTCTGTGTCAAAATGATAATGCCAATTTTCCTCGCATTACTAACGATTTGGATGAGCCCAGAAGAAGCAAAAGACCCAGGATAGAGAAGAATTTTAGTTCTGACTTCATAACATATGTCACGGAACTAAAAGATTTAAACGAACTGTGTGACCAGTTTGTGTGCCAATTAGTATTGGAAGAAGAACCAAAAACGTTTAAAGAAGCAATGCAGTCAGTCGACTCCGTTCTGTGGAAAGAAGCAATCAAAAGTGAATTGGACTCTATTCAGTCCAACCACACCTGGGAGTTGGTAGAACTACCCAAAGGGTGCAAGCCAATTGGCTGCAAATGGATCTTCAAAAGAAAACTTAGACCAGATGGGTCTATTGAAAGGTTCAAAGCCAGGCTAGTAGCCAAAGGCTTTACACAGAGATTCGGTGAGGATTATTTTTACACATACTCACCAGTGACAAAAGTAGGAACCATTCGAGTTCTATTTGCATTGGCTTCTTTACACAACTGGATAGTTCACCAAATGGATGTAAAAACTGCATTCCTCAATGGTGAATTAGAAGAAGAGATCTACATGGAACAACCACCTGGTTGTGTTGATCCAGGGCAAGAAGGAAAGGTATGTAAATTAAAAAGATCTCTTTATGGCCTAAAACAGGCCCCCAAGCAGTGGAATGAAAAATTTCACAAGACCTTAATGGACCTAGGCTACACGACTAACCGGTCAGATGCCTGTTTGTACTCAAAAGAGGTCCAATCCAGCATTGTAATAATATGTCTCTATGTGGATGACATGTTGATTTTTAGCTCAAGTATTGAGGCTATAAATGAAACCAAACGAACTCTATGTCAACAGTTTGAAATGAAGGATCTAGGAGAAGCCGATGTGATACTCGGGATAAAAGTCACAAAAACCAATACAGGTTACCTTCTATCCCAAGGTCACTACACAGAAAAACTTCTGAAGAAGTTTGACAACTATGATGTTGTTCCGGCTAAGACTCCTTACGATCCTAGTGTCAAACTACTGAAGAACATGGAGTCAGGTATGTTTCAAGAAAAATATGCAAAAGTAATTGGGAGTCTAATGTTCTTGATGAACTATACACGTCCCGACATTGCATTTGCCGTGAATAAACTTAGTCGTTTCACTCATAACCCTGGTGGCCCTCATTGGGACGCACTAAAGAGGATACTCCGGTATCTTAGAGGCACGTTAGACTGGGGTCTCAACTTCAAAGGATACCCAGCTGTGCTAGAAGGGTTATGTGATGCGAACTGGGTAAACGACAGTGATGAAGTGTAACACCCCGTGTTACGGCCTTCAATCCTGGATTAATTATTTAATTAATCCCGCTAATAATAATTAAATATGATTTAATTATGTTAGGTTTCCCTTTAATTAATTAATAGGGTCCACCATGAACCGTGGACCCTTGCCTAAATTAGAGGCTTAAGCCTATTAGGAATAAAGAAAGTAAACCTTTTACTATTCAGATCCTAATTAGGAATCCTAGACCTAGTTATCTATTAGGAATAAAGGAAATAGGTCTTTTACTATCCAGATTATGATTAGGATCCGCTTTAATTAATATGGTCCAATGTGGACCATGGACCCTTATCCCTAAAACAAGTCCCTAGTCCTATAAGGAATAGAATTAGTAAACCCATACCATTCAGGCCCTAATTAGGAGTCTTAAATATATAAATAGGGAACTTAGGAGGCACCTAGAATTCCCACCACAATAATCTCTCACCATCCAAAGAGTTCCAAGAATTCCCCTAGGAGAAATCAAGAAAGCAAGAAAGCTTAAAGAAAGATCCTTCATAGCCAAGGAATTAATTAAGGCTAAGAGGTAACCCATGTCTCAACAAAACCTATTTTCATAGCTATGATTTCCCCCGTAGGATTTCCCCATATTATTGTGTATTGATGATTTGTGATGTTATTATTGATGACTGATGGGATAATTCCATGGGTGATCTTGATATCGGGAGATTCTTGATAATTATGGTGTTCTTAACGATTACGTGGAGTTCTTGATAATTATATGTTGTTCTTGATAATTATATGGCGTTCCTGATACGTATGTGTTATTTGTACCGAATCTTGTAATTAGAAGACGAATCGTATTCTTGTTGGCATAAAAGTGATTAGAACTCTAGGTTGTATCGTATGGAATTATTCTTGGTATATTGGGTGGGAATTCGCATGATTGGGTGTTTATTATGTTTAGAAAAGCATGATAGGTTATGTGCCGATCGTTTCCTGATTCTGATCCGTTAATTGTCTACGTGTGTTATCAATTGCGTTTGAAAGTGTCCAAGCATGGTTTCGGGTTCCACAAAGGTTCTCGGGGCGTTTCTTGATGAAAAGAGTCAGTGGGGGTAGGGGACCCGCCATCTACCCGCGGCCTCCTTGGGCAACGCCGGCAGCGGGCGGGCAGCTGCCCGCCGGGCACCCGCTGCCCGGTCTTGTTACCGCCGGCGGGTGATCCCTCACCCACCGGCTACCCGCTGGTTTGCACCCCAATTGGGGATTTCGGCTTCCCCGTTTGATGTTTCCCCGACCCCCGAGGTGTCCCAACGGACTCCGTTTATCGTGCCTGTGTCTAGTTTGATATTTCGGGTACCGTTCGTAGGTTTATGAGTCTACTGTATTACATGCTAGTTGAATTGGTATCCCGTTGACCTAGGTGGAAGAAGTATGAACCCCTTAGGACCATTCTTAGTATGTGATGAATCACGCATAGGTTTGGTTATACGTTTTCTCCCCCTTCCCAATGTGTCAATGTGGGCTGCATGTACTTGCTATGTGTTATGTGTGCATGTAACCCCGAGTTGGTTAAGATCAATCGGGCTATACGGGCAGTCGGGTGGGCTGAGAACCATACCGGCTGTTAACCAGGCTGGTAGAGACCGGTCAGGTATATAAATATTATATAGGACTAAGTTCCACTATACGGGCAGTCGGATGGGCTGAGAACCATACCGGCTGTTAACCAGGCTGGTAGAGACCGGTCAGGTATATAAATATTATATAGGACAAAGGTCCACTATATGGGCAGTTGAATGGGCTGAGAACCATCCCAACTGTTAACCAGACTGGTAAAGACTGGTCAGGTATATAAATATTATGTAGGACAAAGGTCCATCAGTCGGTTGCGATCGGCTCCTCCGTAATGTGAGACGGGGCAGGGTGCTGTGGGGCCGTGTCAGAGCTATATGCGCTGACCCTCATGTATGGGCATGCGATTGGTCCTGTGGCGCCAACAAAGTGTGTTATGTGATGAGATATGGAGGAGTTGTGTTTATGAGTATATTGGGGGATATGACTAAGGGGTTATGCTGGGGATTGTTTATGTTGGGTTGTGATTATTAATTGTGCTTATCTTTATCTGTCTTGCCTGTTGTGGATCATATACGCTGGTTATAACTGTTGCTTGTGTCTAGCCTTATCTGTCGAGTCATTCCCGGTTTTAAAAGCTAGAGTCTCGTAGGTTATATCTTCATGCTTCGAAATGACTTTTCGTATATCTATATATATATCTCTATACGTAATGTATTTCAACGCGTTGGAGTGGGTTACCAGCATCTCTCGCTGAACAGATATATTTGGCTTTCAGGCACAGAAGATTAAGTCACTGGAGTGCGCGAGAGCTTGGATTATAGAAATAGTTAGTTTCCCTTTCGGCCTGTGTGCCATGTTTATGCATTCATATCTTTGAGACATTAGTTAGTTAGCCTGTGCACCTGAGTTCTCTAGCTCAAGTGTGGCATAGCACCCCGTACACTCGTACTCTGTTTGGGATTTAATGAGATTTCAACCTTAATTTATATGTTTTAAATATCCTGAAAATCTGGGGTGTTACAGTTGGTATCAGAGCCTAAGTTTGACCCTAGGATAAGACTCTTAAGACCGGACTTTAGGACATTAGGCTTGAACTCTAGGTATCTAGGAACATAGGACTCAGGAATCTTAGGACACGCGGTGAGATTGTGAAACCTACACATAACCTCTCCTCACTTTATCCCTCCATGACTTAAAGAACCCCCCTACGCTTACCACACCAAGGTAAGGGTGCAGCACACTGACCCATCACTACAATAAATATTGGCCCTAAGGACCAGCAGCACGGCGCCAACAAGAAGACAGTCAAGGACCCCACACTCCTCGCAGAACGAATCCGAACCTTCAACAAAATCCTTGGGTTAATGGAATGCCCAGGGGAGCACCGCGTAGAGATAGCCTCGTTCGAAGACACGAGGCTGATCCTTGATAAATCCAAAAAGGACCCACTTATGGGTAACAACCGGGGGTCCAATTAGGAGTGCCTAGGGGCACGACTACAAGGACGATTCCACCCCGCACCCGCAAGGGCAACCACGTACAAGAAATCCCCCACTACCTCCGTCGAACACAAACGCAGACTTCGCCCGACAAGTCTCTAACCATCGACCACCTACATCCTCAGGAGAAGAGGATCCCGTAATCCTAGGAGAATGGATCCGAACCTTCGACAAAATCCTCGAGTTAGTAGGACGCCCAGAGGAACGCCACAACGTGAAGGTAGCCTCGTTCTACTTCGGACACGAGGCCGATCTCTGGTAAATCCACGAGGGTCCCACTTACCAACAAGAACCAGGGTTCAACTGGGAACACCTAAAGGCGCGATTTCGAGAGCGGTTTTATCCAACACACGTAAAAGCATCCATGTACGAAGACTTTCTCCATCTAAGACAAGGAACAACTACCGTCATGGAATACCAACAAACGATTCCTTGAACTAGCACGCTTCACACTAGAACTAGTCCCACCGAGGTAACCGGAGTAGAGAGATTCGTATCGGGCCTCAACTTTGAAGCCCGAAAAGCACTAGTGGTAAGCAGACCTCGGGCTCTCAATGAGGCTTACTCCAGTGCCGCTAATCTCCACCGAATCCAACTACTCCAAACGCGGAATCCAGGAACAAACCCGAAAGAAGAAGTAACAGAAGTGGGAAGCCGTCCCTCCAGCATGAGCGAACCCTTTCGGAACTAGTCACGAATGGGCGCAACTATCCCAGCCCGGAAGACTGGGAACGCCAATTAGAATGCAAGGAAGTAAGGTAGTACGTCAATGACACCCTTTCCTAAACGTTGGCACGAATCACCGAAAGAGGCTCGATATGACAAGAAGAGGCAACAAACACATGGAAAGTATCATACAACTAGAACCTCTCAGCAATAAGGATCTTACCTTGGAACAAGGACCTTGATGGTTTTAAGGCACCGTGAGAAGTACGTGAGACACGCAAAGTCGCCAATACACCATGCGACGTCAAGGGCAGTCAATCAAATGCATCCCAAGGAAGGGAAATGCATCACCGAGCACTCGGTCACCAAAGGATTGAACAAAGAGCGGGCGACAAGCCGAACTCCAAGAAGAACCAAGAGGGCTTACCCTTAATCAAGCAAGGAAAAGACGAAGTTGGTTTATAACCAAACTACCCGGTGAAGATGACGAGGTTGCTGATTGGAAACCGGACCCGACCTACTAAGCGGAACGAACATACAAGAGTCTTGACTCATCTAGAACTCGTGCTTAAGGATCAATAAACGTTGTACGATGGGTCATCCTATGTATTCAAGCCCCTTTTAGTGCACAAGGGCATGGGACTTGTCAGGACAAGAATCGGTGCCTTTTTGGGGCCTTTCCCGAGGGAATTGACTCTTCCTAGTCATTTTCCCGCGGGTCCCCAACGGGTCCTTGACGGGTCCTTGGCAGGAGCTTGGCAGGCGGACAACCGCCCACCTCGCGCCCACTGGTACAATGTGCTGATTTCTTAACCCCTCATTTTATTGATTTTTGGCGCACTTGTGTGCCTCGATTGATGAAAATGAGTTTTGGGTAAGGAACCATGGGCCACACAAACATAGTGTCCTACGCACGAGGCACCATCGGAAAATCCCAATCAATTGCATTGCACGAGTAATGGAAGTTGGATTCTACGATACAACCGACTAGGGATGTTTGGCGTAAAAGATTGCGCAAACCAAGGAGGCGAGTTGGGAACTCGTGCCAAGAACCCACGAAGACCTTAAAAGTCAAAATTCTAAGGAGGGACCGGGAGTCCTCCAAACCATGGATATCGTCCAAGCAAATCAAAGGACTCCTTACAAGTTGTATAGGAACCAAGAACTACGTAGTCCATGGTGCTAAGCAAAAAGGTAAAGAGCACATTTGTGCCAAGACCTCAAGAGTCATTAAGGACCCACAAGGAAATGAGATGACTCGTAAAGACACCGAGTCATCCCACAACGAGATTAGGTAACCTACTACGCTTCAAGAAGGAAAAGAGCATGCAAGGACACCTTCATCATTAAAAGTTACACAAAAAGGGCACCACAAGCCGAACCTCGGGGAAGACATGAAGTCTTACTAAGAATTTCATCCACTAACGAGGAGATGAAATTCAATAAGGAGAGAAATTCAACCCAAAGTCTAGCGACTCCCAAGAGACTCTGGGAAGAATTTGGGAAGTGCGCCCTAAAAGATTGGCTTGGTCGACCCAACTTGGCCAAGACCTTGGACGCATTAAATAGGTAAGTGTTAAATCACCACGGGAAACTCCCTCAAGATAGAAGAGAAGGATGAAACCTTAGCCTGGGAAGCAAGGTCTAACAAGGATCTTAAAGTCAAGCAAGCGCCAACACCGAGAAAGGAGGATCAACGGCTCGTCGACGCATCGTGATCAAAACATCAAACCAGATTATTCACTTGAGATCAAGAACCCTTAACCCATCCTAGCCGAATTCCTTTCCCTTCCTCGGAAAATCGGCCCCGTCCTTATTTCAAAACCCTTTCTACCCTTCAAACCCCATTCTTGATTCCATGTTTTAACGACTCCGCACAAGGCAACAACCTCACAACCTAAGTTGCAACCTCGAAAACCTAGCTCCTAATTATTGAATTCAATTTGTCCTCAAGTTGAAACCCACTCTCTTAGTCTTGTAAACCTAATCGTTCCCAAAAACCCAACACACATAGACATACAACTATACAGTTTCCCCGTAGAATACCTTCTCTATAGGACCACCGTTCTACTCTTGACTCGTTAACCCTACAATGATTTCTAAGCTTCGGGGACGAAGCTTCTCGTAAGGGGGGGGGGGAGAGTGTAACACCCCGTGTTACGGCCTTCAATCCTGGATTAATTATTTAATTAATCCCGCTAATAATAATTAAATATTATTTAATTATGTTAGGTTTCCCTTTAATTAATTAATAGGGTCCACTATGAACCGTGGACCCTTGCCTAAATTAGAGGCTTAAGCCTATTAGGAATAAAGAAAGTAAACCTTTTACTATTCAGATCCTAATTAGGAATCCTAGACCTAGTTATCTATTAGGAATAAAGGAAGTAGGCCTTTTACTATCCAGATTATGATTAGGATCCGCTTTAATTAATATGGTCCAATGTGGACCATGGACCCTTATCCCTAAAACAAGTCCCTAGTCCTATAAGGAATAGAATTAGTAAACCCATACCATTCAGGCCCTAATTAGGAGTCTTAAATATATAAATAGGGAACTTAGGAGGCACCTAGAATTCCCACCACAATAATCTCTCACCATCCAAAGAGTTCCAAGAATTCCCCTAGGAGAAATCAAGAAAGCAAGAAAGCTTAAAGAAAGATCCTTCATAGCCAAGGAATTAATTAAGGCTAAGAGGTAACCCATGTCTCAACAAAACCTATTTTCATAGCTATGATTTCCCCCGTAGGATTTCCCCATATTATTGTGTATTGATGATTTGTGATGTTATTATTGATGACTGATGGGATAATTCCATGGGTGATCTTGATATCGGGAGATTCTTGATAATTATGGTGTTCTTAACGATTACGTGGAGTTCTTGATAATTATATGTTGTTCTTGATAATTATATGGCGTTCCTGATACGTATGTGTTATTTGTACCGAATCTTGTAATTAGAAGACGAATCGTATTCTTGTTGGCATAAAAGTGATTAGAACTCTTGGTTGTATCGTATGGAATTATTCTTGGTATATTGGGTGGGAATTCGCATGATTGGGTGTTTATTATGTTTAGAAAAGCATGATAGGTTATGTGCCGATCGTTTCCTGATTCTGATCCGTTAATTGTCTACGTGTGTTATCAATTGCGTTTGAAAGTGTCCAAGCATGGTTTCGGGTTCCACAAAGGTTCTCGGGGCGTTTCTTGATGAAAAGAGTCAGTGGGGGTAGGGGACCCGCCACCTACCCGCGGCCTCCTTGGGCAACGCCGGCAGCGGGCGGGCAGCTGCCCGCCGGGCACCCGCTGCCCGGTCTTGTTACCGCCGGCGGGTGATCCCTCACCCACCGGCTACCCGCTGGTTTGCACCCCAATTGGGGATTTCGGCTTCCCCGTTTGATGTTTCCCCGACCCCCGAGGTGTCCCAACGGACTCCGTTTATCGTGCCTGTGTCTAGTTTGATATTTCGGGTACCGTTCGTAGGTTTATGAGTCTACTGTATTACATGCTAGTTGAATTGGTATCCCGTTGACCTAGGTGGAAGAAGTATGAACCCCTTAGGACCATTCTTAGTATGTGATGAATCACGCATAGGTTTGGTTA